CCCTGGTCTAGGGGTTAAGGCACCAGGCGAAAAAGTGGGAGGCCATGAGCTCTAGTCCTGCTTTAGCCATAAATGCCATGAAAGAGTGACCTTGAGCCAGTCACTCTCTCTCAGCCCAACAAACCTCACAAAATTATGGTGATGGAAAATAGTAGGAGGAAGGTGTGTCGGATATGTTTGCCAACTTGAGTTATTGATAAAAATAATAAAACTGGGATACAAATAAATAAAATAACAATAAAATGGTAGCATATGTGGATACTGTAGGATGAATGCTCTTCTCTTGCTATTTGTCTTTATATTGAGTTTATACACAACTACCTGAAGGTGACTGGGCATAAATATTTACTCTGAATTACCAGATATTCCACCAAGACATTCAGTACATCTAGTGCTGTCATGACAACATGACAGCACTGGGACAGAAAGATTGCATTTTTCACATTTTTCTTGAAATATCCTTGCTTGATTGGCATTTAAGTATCTTTCTCGCATTTCTGCTTGTCTCTATCCACTGCAGCTATTCAGCCTCCTCTTTTTAAGTGACAATCACCTGTTCAGTCTCTTTAGGTTCATTTAACACTCAGTATTAACATAAGACTTTGGTAAGGAGAGGAACAGGCAGTACATTTTGTGTGTTTCAGGTACCTTTCCTCGGCACACTGAGCGCACACATTCCACAATCTGTCCCGTCTCAAGTTGAAAGGCTCGGCAGCGCTTCATCTCTTGATCCCATAGTTTTACAGCCCCTCCTTCTTTAGTTCTGAAAATAGAAGAAAAATAAGAAATATTCCATTCTCCTCAAATCCTTACAATCCTGTAATACATTGACCATACAGTTTCCCTTACATCTACGTAGATGTCAGATACCAAGCGGTAAATAAGGGAATTTACTCTATGTTTTCAGATGGAGGTAGCACACACAGATGATGTATGGTGGAAATGCCTGACTGTAAATAGATGACGTATATAGCATACCGCCCTTGGAAACGATGGTTTCAAATAGATGGATGCCAGCATTTTTTAATATAAAAATTTAAACATAGCCATCTGTGAAAGGAAACTTTCACTTCTATTCTGGAGCATTCAAAACAGTTCTCAATGTGAAAAAAGAAGACAATATATCTTCACATATCCTTCTAATATCTATAACTTTAATATATACATAACTACATCTATGTTGTTTTTCCAATCACTTCATTCTATTCTTCCTATCTTGTTTTCAGTTCTTTTTCTAAGTGGTCAGTCTGCATGTTCATTTCAGGTCTTTTACTTTTGCTGATCTAAGTTGTTGAATCTGTATCACGTGAGGTTGCCATTATGGCTACGGAAGCATTCACTTTTAGATAGCTGGATCGTAATTAGAACCCAATATAGAACTACCAAAACATATACTTTTTCTCAGCCCAACTACTGTTTTTTTGCAGTGCATACTTGGACTGCTCAGGAAACGAAGGATATTTAAATAATATTTTTTTCAGTCTGCCATAAACCGTCACACTCCTTATTCTTATTTGGATTTCCTTCTGAAGGATACTTGGCTATATAAGTAACTGCACATAGAAAAGAGTTATAATTCCTTACGGTCTCTCTTTCCCTCCAGTAACTATGAGCCCATCGCGAAGAGTGGTGTACATCGTAAAGACTGGGCCAGTGTGAGCTTTTGCTACAAGTCGAATTAGAAAGTGATCTTTCCACACATAAACATCTCCATTGATGGCACCGGTGAAAGTGAGATTATTCTGAAAGAAACCACAATAATCTGCTTTGTAAATGCTATGAATTATTGACCCTTACTACCTTTTGATATATTATCAATTCTTTGCTTCATATCCAGTTTTTAAGACAGAGATGGCTCCTCAGAACTAGTGTGATTGCTATTCAAGCTTCGGTATTGAAACAGACATATTCTAGCAATAAAGACTTTGTATCTAGGATGAATAAAAAACTCCAATACTAGTTTTGTTGGCATTATTCTGTAAAGAAAATGTCGTATTATCTCTTTTTATGTTCATTTACATTTGCTCCCGAATACCACATGTTGACCACTGAAATCCTTTCTCATGAAATTGGTTTAATTTTTCTCTGCACAAATCACATAAAAGAAGAAGGAGGAGGAGGAAAATTACTTACTGCTCCAAATGCCACTGAAAGCATAGTTTGCATTTTGGCATCATCCAACGAACCTATTACTCCTTTTTTATAGAGCAAAGCACTTCCAGCAAGAGTCCAGAACTTCATGTGTTTTACTCCAACAGAAACGAACTGGGTATCAGAATCTGGACGAAACTCTACAACAAAGATCCTCTCTAGGTGACCTCCTCTGCTTGCAATTTTAGCACCTGTAGAAATCAGAGAAGACATTTTAATGTTTCAGAAACGTAAGTAGGTCACAACTGCAATCTGCCATCAGTCTAGACCTTGGGATCCCATTCTTAGGATGCACATGGCTATTGGGGGAAATTCTACTTTAAAAGTGGTCCTGTCAATAGCTACTTGCGATCCCAGTTATGGTAGTTCTCCATTAATTCCAGCTTCAGAAGAATCATCCTTTCAAAACCAACTGCTGGAACATAAGTGGGAGAGGCTATTCTACGTTTGATTTAGCTAAAAAGCAAATATATATATTTGCTTTTTAGCTAAATCAAACGTAGTGTACGTACTGTAGTATTTTTCTTTATAATACTTTACAAAAAGATTGTTATTCTGAAAGGTGCATGGATGAATAAATTTCCTGGGCAACTAAATGGGAAATAATACTCAAGAGATTGTGGGATCACATGCCTTTT